TCGGCTGGCAACGAGCCCCGCGGTTCAACAAGTAGAGCAGCTACGTTGTCGGCGGCGACGACCCCCGCCGTTCACCATAGAGCACAGCTCAACCGGTTGGCGGGCGATCCCCGCGTTTCACGATAGAGCAGCTCGGGCAGCGGCGATGACCGCGGTCAACATTAGAAGCAGCTATACGGTCGGCGGCTGAAGACCCCGCGTTCACATAGAGCAGTACGGTCGCGCGGCGCGGCGAGACCGGGTCCGCGCGTCAGCGTGACGAAAATCGCCGTGAGAGAAACTGGCGAAATAAAAGCGGACGACGCCGACAGAGTGTCGCGTCACCTCGCGACGGCAGCTGCGTCCGCGCGGACGGTGCACGTCCGCCCCGCCGCGTGTTCAAACTCTCAGTCGTCGTTCCGTTGCTTCTTACAGAAGTCACAAATCGGCTTGGAAGTTCCGTTAGCCAGACGCGAGGCTGAGGAGGGCAGCACCGTGCCCGTGCTATCGCTGCGGGACACGCCGAACGGACGCGGGCCGGCGCGAAGGGTAGGGTGCGCCGCCGAATCAGTCGCGCGGATGAAGCGTAAGCCGAAACCAATTGACCGCCGGACTCCCCGGCAGCTACAGGCGGGGCGGCGACATCTGGTGAGCGGAATGGCAGCGGCGAGAGCGCAAGTGCTGTCCACGATGGGTCCCAGTTCTCGAGTTGTCGAAACAGAATGAGCATCTCGTCGCCCTTCTGCCAGAAACGTCTCCCATTTGCGTCCACTAGTGTGTTCGGTGATCGCGGTTCTGCGATCACGGTGGCGAGCCAGTTAACCTGGCGAACATTTACCTAGCCAAAAAACCTTCCGCGGTCCGATCCTTTGGATTTTCTCGACGCATGGGTTAGCGACGCACCAGGTTGCTGCCAGCTCGGGAGAAAGCATGCGTCGGCTGCATTGCTGCGATAGTGTCAATTCTCGAGATCGAGCTGCATGCTCATCAAGATGACAATACACCGAGGAGATTTAACGTTGGAAAACCCGACGTGGAAAACTACTCAGAGGTCGTGATCCAAGTGAATGTGAGGTCGAGGTCAGTGACACTAGTGGACACTACATCAGGACGGTCACTGTAACTTCAGCTGGCTGTGAGGTCAGACGGTCGTTGACCTTAGTGGCACATCATCAGAGGTCATGACCCATAGTGGAATGTGAGGGTCAGAGTCGTGAAAGTCAGTGGATACTACATCAGAAGTCGTCATGACAGCCCAGTTAAAATGTGAGGTCAGATCAGTCTGTGAAACTCAGGTGGATACTAGTTCATCAGAGGTCATTGCTCCCAGTGAATGTGAGGTCAGAGGTAGTGAAAAAAAAAAAAAAAAAACTCAGTTGGGGGGATTAATTTCGATTGGGATATGCATGCTCCTTCTCGAGTAGAAAAACTGTCGGAAAGAGCCGGAAATGATCGTCAAGATAAGAATTGTGAACACTTACAATGTTTATTTTGAAATTCTCTGTCAGTGTGACGCAAGACAAACGTCATGATGGAGCGAACCTGAGATCTTTCACTCTTGGCCACTAGATGGCGCTTCATGGTAATCGTGTACAGTCAAACCTGTATGTAGTAGTCGAGTCGCTCGAGGGAAACACTGAAAATGTCCGTTATAGAGAGGTGGCCGCTAATACAGGTTTGACTGTAGGGGAAATGTATGAACAGCGATTGCTGGAGAAAATGCCATCATTCGTGAAATTAAATGCGTTTTGATGGATCGCGCGATGGCAAGAGAAAAATCATAGCACCAGTGTTCTCGAACGAATTTCTCGGCATATGAAAACACAAAATTTATATACTCTACTTACCATTCTGTATAGCGACAATATAAGTCCATGTTATAAGACTATAAAACACATCCGTCCCTCTTTTTACAAAGAAAACACTAAAGATACTACACACAGATCGAACTTACAAAAGTTGTCTATAAAACGGCTAAACGGTGGGGTTTAACGTACCTCCTATACATTTAACGGATCCATTTTGATTACGTAATTCACACGTGGTCCCTAGTGGTGACGTCATCTCTGAGTGACGAGGGAACGGCTTTAGATTACGTCATAACGAAATACTTACAGATATCGTTTGATTTATTATAACGTCGGCAATTTACACATCTGCTAGCCAAAAAAGTCCGTTGCTACGCGGAAACATATGACAAATACGTTAAGAGAAATTGACACAGACTAAATGCTAGTTGTCAATGGAGCTCTCCTATGCTCTATGTGCTGTGGGCAGTAGTTGAGGAGTACATAACCTGAATATAAACCACACGCTTTTACAACCTACACTCACCGCCGGCCACGATCCACGCGGGAACAGCCGGCTGGCTTTCTCTAAATGCTAATCACATTATCTTGCATTATTTTCATCATTTCGATGTAGATAGTTGGGGGCCCGACCGGCCCTAGTATATAATAGTACAATACACATATTTGTAACACACACAAACGGATACACGCAGCTCCAACCGTCGCTCGTAGATACATAGTTTACCCTTTAAGCCACCTTCTCTTTCCGTGCGCTAAAAATGTCTTCCACATCTTGCAATTAAATTTGGCGGCCATTTTGAAGACCGTGAGGGAAGGATTTTGCCTCAGTGTCATCGTGAGGGAACGAGATGTTTCTTATATAAAATCAAGAGCAGATAAGGGTTGATATGCTCTTAATAACATATCATTCTATAAGATGTATCTTATATAAAATTCACCTTACATAGTACACATCTCACATAGGATGTATCTCACATAAGATAACGTGTATCTTACATAAGACGAGCCTTATGTATCCGCGGCGATATCTCGTACAAGCGATATTGTACAGCAACTGCAAAACATGGACATCAAAAATAAAACGAAATAATTGTCGATCGAGCGAGACAGTCGCATGCCTTCTTCTTCCACGATTTCCCACACACCCACCTCCCTCCCCTCCTCCTCCTCCCCTCTTCCTCCGAGAAGAATCGTAATTTATCATACGAATAAGACAAGAGATGAATGCGTTTATTAACTTGCCGTGCGAACACCTCCGTGATCAGAGGTTGGTTCACGCGAACCGTCTCGCTCGTGAATAGATGGTTAGTCAGTCTACAACCTCGGCGACTATTCACGCGTAGTTAACTATAATTGTTGTCGTGTCTAGGCGATCTGCGCTTCTGTTTTCTCTATCAGATGAGGATCCTGTGTTCTGTGGACGTTGATGCCGCCGAAGCATCGTCCCATGGAGTCGAACACGGGGTTGAGGCATGTACCCAGTAGCAGCTTCCACATCTGTAAGCAGACGAGCGTGAAGATGGGTGTGCGTGCAGCAGTGATGGGTGCTCACTGTCTGTCGGTCTCCCTATCTCTCTCTCGCTCTCTCTCGCTCTCT